GGTGTGCGATAGACTTACCTCCACGTGGTGCACCCTGGGCAACGTATACTCATACGGCAAAAAAGTCTATTAACTGGCAGTTGACTTCTCACTTCAAACTATCATCACCCCACTGTATGTCATATTCCACCACTTCCACAGTACTCACCTCACCTTTTTTTCTACCTTTATGTCTGTCTCTCTTACATTTTTGAAACACACATCTCTTCCATCCCCCTCTCGACTTTCTTTCACTTTGATGTTCCTCCTCCCCTCTGTGAAGCCTGAAGTCAGTTAAAGGGCCAATGATAATTATCAAAACGCCTGCCATTTGATATAAATGAATAAGTATACTAGTTTTAGAAGGAACGTAAACACAATTAATCACCTCTTGTCGGAGACCATCGAGGTAGAGTTCGCTATTGACTGATTGAATAGTCTTCTCGTACTCTTCCACAAATGACTCAATCGTAGTCTTCTCCTGATTTTCCATCTCTGGTTCGGCAGAGTTTGACGCATAGGGGGCCATCTAAAACATGTTCAAAATCATGACAATAACCCCCCTTCATTCCTTAAGCAGATCAGTTAATGCGTTAGAAATAGCCATTCAATTTCAACTTTTTAAATCCGAAAAGAATTCTCTTTCAGTGACAGTAAACACGCTGAATTCCGTAAATCTTTACGCATTTTATACCGAAGAAATATCTGGTTGAAACTCACCCTCGGAAGAGGTAAAATTGTGATACCAGTCTAAAGGGTTTACAACCAAAGTTTCATATTCACTCAACATTCTTGCATTTGTGTTTTTATTTGTCACTCATCATGTAACAACAGTTATAAAACTATATTTTGCTTATTGCTTATAAGTAGTATTTCAATTATTCTTTATAATTGACTATTCATATTACCTCGGCTTTTGAGTTTATCTAACAACCTTATCATGAGTGAACTCAAGTGTACTCTATTGTGTTAAACTCGTATTAGTCCTCCCATTTGCTTTATCCTTCGAAGTGGATGAGCAATCATCAAACGCGTTTTTTGGTCTATACGTAAAAAAATTTAAATCCTGAACTCAAGTACCTAATTTCGTGGAGGCGTTTTGACTCCTGACTATCATTCCTACTTCCTTCTGATTCCCTCAAGGGAAAACTTAAAGACCTGCTTTCTGGTGAAGAGTTAAAGTTTTATTCCCTGCTGTTGAAAAAAAATTAAAAATTAAAATCAAAAATTACCTTTGGGATTCCAGCAACCAACTGATAGGCAACTCCAGTCCATAGCATGTCCTTCTGTTTCATATAATCAGAAAATTATTTACCATTTAAAACAATAATCTGCATAAACAGCTAACATTTAACCCATCAACGAGAAACAAACCTTTTCGTTTGAAACGATACGTGAGAAGGGACTCTTAAAAATGGTAGAGAAAGCACTTCTTCGACAAATTTTTACACAAATCCTTTTTCTCAGTACTAAAGTCATTTCCACCGGTTTTCGCACAAGAATATGTACCTAAAAAAACAATAAAATGGGAATTTGTTAAAATTATTCATTAAAGAAGATTTGAAGGCATCAATTGTTTAAGTGAAATTTTCGCTGAAAAAATCGACTTAGTATACTAAATTTCGGTAGAGATAACGGTGTTTCCTCAGTTAAAATGAGAAAGATAAAAGAACGATTTTAAGGAAATATATCATTGTGTGTTAACTAACGGTCTCGCTAATATTTACTGAAGCAAGGTGCACCGAACTTAAAGCTCGAACAAAGTAGAAACAGTGGACAGTGGCACTCTCCGATATAGCCGACTGGCCAAGAATCGAAGCCGTTGCTGAGTTTAGACTACGTACCGGACACGATTGCTTGGCAAAACACCTTCACAGATCGGGAGTATACACTCAACCCACATGCCCTCTATGTAACCTACAGGAGGAAATGGAGAAGACCCACCTGATTCGGTGTCCAGCCCTAAAGACAAAGACAGAAAGCCAGAAATACTGGGTAGCAAGAAGACAGCTAATGAACTGCTATTAATTAACTGCTATAAATGTACCCCCCCCCCNTTTACAAGGGGTAGACCGGTCAATGTCTTTCCACACAAAAAGACCTTAATCAGGAGAGAATTTAAGACGAAACAGTGGACAGTGGCACTCTCTGACATAGCCGACTGGCCAAGAATCGCAGTCGTTGCTGAGTTTAGACTAGATATCGGACATGATTGCCTAGCGAAGCACCTTCACAGAATAGGAGTATACGCTCAACCAAATGCTCTCTATGTGACCTGCAGGACGAAATGGAGAAGATTCATCTGATTCGGTGTCCATCCCTAAAGACAACGACGGAAACCCAGAGATACTTGGAAGCCAAAAGTCAACTAATGAACTACTGTTAACTGTCCTTGTGAAAGGCAAAGCCAAATAAGGGGCTAATAATAAATATTAAAAAGCCTGCCATTTGAAATAATAAATATTGCTTGACATGCTTCAACTCTTTGTTAATTCCCTTTCACATGGAGGAGGAAACTTTCCAGCACTCTCTTTGGCAAGTGCGCGTGCGTTCCTCTTTAGAATATCAATACTTCAGAAATACTACCTTATGAAGCAGATATCTGTGAAAAGCGCTCTATTGCCCACTCTGCAAAGATTTTAGGAAAATTTCCTAACCCTACCTACACATTTCATCTATGACAATGCATCGCAGAGCGTGAGCGTATGTAAAGCCAAGGATCATGATTTTGATTCTCATAGGCACACATTCGGTGAGAGAAGCAATAGATTACAATGATGAAGTCTGAAAGTAGACTGAATTAGAGTCTCCCATCAGTGTTGGTCAATTATGACTCTCTCAAACACGCACTCGACAAAGAGAGTGTTGGAAAGTTCCTTCCTCCATGTGAGTGAGAATTAACAGAGTTGAAGTAGAACAAAATAGATAATGAGGAAAGCACTTGTCGCCTGTGTGGCTGAGCACTAGCAATAAAGAAACAGTGCAAGGTCAGTCGGAGGCAAGGAAGAAGTTGCGATGCCGCTGCAACGAAGTAAATGCGGAGTAAAATCTCTCTAAAGCCGAAAGGCAAAAAAAGGTGTGTTGAAACTAATCAGACGAAGGAGGGAGAGAGGGGAAGAGAGGGGGAGAGAGTGAAAGGACTATGTTATGACCTTGATAGTGCTACTCTCAATTGGGTTCCGATATGTTAGTTTTGACTGATTAGATGCTCCAATTTGAGCACAAACCAATGCACTTTCCTGTGAAGGATCCACTCCTGAGTTGTGTGCATTAGTGAGCTAAAGCGGCTCCAACTAGATTGCGTATGTAGCCAATTTCTCCAACCTCTCCAGCTCNACAATCAATGTCAACTATCCTGGAGATCAATGGCTCCAAGTCTTCACTGATGGGTCATACATAGAAAACCAAGCAAACATTGGTGCAGGTGTCTATTCTGAACTCATCTCTTTCTACGCACCAGCTGGACACAATAGATCCGCTTTTGAAGGAGAAATAGAGACCATTAGAATAGTACTATGCCAATTATGTTGCCTGGATGCGAAATTCACCAAAGCGGTGATACTTTCGGACTCACAGTCAGCAATAAACTCAATTGGAAGCAGAGAGTCAACCAAAACAGCTGAGATAAAGGAATGTAGAAAAGTGTATCAGCTCCTGAGAGAGAAAAACAAAACAGTAGTCCTACAATGGATTCCTGGTCACTGTGGCATTAAAGGCAATGAGATTGCCGACACACTTGCTAAGAAGGGGACAGCGATTTTGCAATGCGTGGATCGGCCGATGTCTTTCCTCACAATGAAGGCCTTAATCAGAGGAGAATTCAAGACCTCAAGGTGCAATGAACTTAAAGCTCGAACAAAGAAGAAACAGTGGACAGTGACACTCTCTCCCAAATGTAAGGTGTGTATTAGTTAAGTGCAAACCATTTTTAATTTTATTTTTAGAGAGTTAATCAAGATCTATTCTATCCATAAGTCGGTTTTTGAATTGTTAAATTGCATCCGAAAATTTTATGTAGTATTACTTCCTTTGTGTTTATCATATGATTTTTATTGTACTAATATTTCTTTCAAGTGTTGAAATAATTGTCGCATTAGTTATATAAACTCGAGTTGGAGAATGTTGATGCACTATAAAATTAATTTCTACTTAATTTTATTAGTAGGTATTGTACAAATTATTCTTTCATTAATATGTTGAGTTATAATACTCAAGTATTTCATTTATAGGTTTTATTTTTAGCATACTATGTTTTATCATGAATCACTCAAATTTATTTTGGATATTTTATGGGGTGGCAATGCTTTCTTTAATAAACGTAATAATTTTTTTGTTCTTCTTATTCTGGATGATGGTTGTCTTGCTCCTTATTACTTACTGGCCTACCTTCGAGTTCCTTGGGTCAAATAATCTCGCATTAAATGCCCATGACATTATATCATGAAAACGGTAATTTAATTAAAATTGACCAATTAACTATTTCACAAAATGCATTATGAAACTATTGGACATTAAAAAGCTTTACGCAACATAACATTGGTTCTGGTAAGTCTTGCCACATTTATTGCTACTATTAGGGTCTCGCGCCAATATGTAATCTATTTTTCCTTAGATAGAGATTTTTCATTATTATTCAAATGTTTTAAAGTATTATTTTTTATCAAAATAATTATTACAGGGTACGTTAAGAATGATGCAATTTCTGGTTACCGGCTGGGCGTGAGGCGTGCTTGCTCCCAAACGCGATCAGTTGAACTATCACATGTTTGATTTAAAATTGCTTTTAAAAATTCCGGAATACGCAAGCGCTGATTAGTGTACAACTCTTGGAATATTATAGAATACGAGGGTGACCAATAAATTATTACTGATCATTTGACTTGACTGTTGGTAGTTGCAATAAAAGTGATTTCGAATTTTCAAATCGTTCTAGCGACAAGTCAAGCTACTTTTAAATTTGGTCAAAACTTGTCTCGACGCGTCTCATGGTAATAACAATGCTCATAGGCTGATTGAACATATTAATCTTTCCCAATTGCGAGAGCCAACACTCGAGCACGACCACGTGGATATTCAAGAAGTTGAAAGTAAATAGGGGAGAATGAATGAAGGAGTATGCAGAGTAAATGGAAAGCAGCAGCAGCAGCAGAAGAAGAAGAAGAGCGAACGAACGAAGGTGGTAGGCCCGGGTCCGAACTACCCAAGTTACGAGGAGGATGGAAATTTAGCAGTTGGCGGATTTTACATTCCTTATTCAGTGATGACAGCTGGATGCGAGCATTCAATAACTAAGCTAACCTATGAGTAATCGTGTCTAATTACCGCAATCTCCATATTTAGATTGTTGGTTGAAGTTAATGAGACTTGTACGAAGTTCATTCTCTAAAAGGTTCGTGAATCTAAGCCAGCCAGGCTTCTTGAAGTTCCATGTAAGCTACTTTGGCATTTTCGGTGTCATGCGTTTGCTGCCAATGGTAATACTAACAATGACTGGTTTGTGACCAGGACCAGATTCGTCAATTATTTTGCGGTATGTAATCTCTTTGATGTTGTTTGAAGCCAGGAGCAAGTCAGGAGTAGTTCTGGTTCCACTGTAGTGTAGATATGTAGCAGGATACTCATTGTTATAATCGAGTTCTAGAGGGTTGCTATTAAGTATGTCGTCGATTTCATTTCAAGCAATGTTTGTATTCTTACAGCCCCATCTGGTGGAATGGGCGTTGAAGTCTCCTAATACTACAGTTTGTGTGAGAGGTTCAGAATATCAAAGTTGAGATTATTCTGGGGTGGATTATAGACTGCATATATCTTGAATTGGTTTTGACATTTCCAAACATTTAATCTGATTATTTCGCATATGTCGTAGTGTGAGGTGAGGCCTTCTTTTACTCCAGTTAGAATTCCACTTGCAACTCGCCGTTATTTAGGTAGAAGGTACAGGGTGTAACCTGGGAATTGGTAATACTTCAGTTTGTCATCTGAAATGTTTGCTTCCATAATTGTGAAAATGTCTGTATCATAGGTTTGCAGGATTTCTGGACTTGGATCTTATTGTCCTGTGACATCCCTCCAGGATTCCACTGGAGGATCTNGTGGCACTCTCCGATATAGCCGACTGGCCAAGAATCGAAGCCGTTGCTGAGTTTAGACTACGTACCGGACACGATTGCTTGGCAAAACACCTTCACAGATCGGGAGTATACACTCAACCCACATGCCCTCTATGTAACCTACAGGAGGAAATGGAGAAGACCCACCTGATTCGGTGTCCAGCCCTAAAGACAAAGACAGAAAGCCAGAAATACTGGGTAGCAAGAAGACAGCTAATGAACTGCTATTAATTAACTGCTATAAATGTACCCCCCCCCCCACCCTTGGGGGAAGCTGAAGTCAAAGTTTAAGGGCTAATGATAAATATCACAAAGCCTGCCATTTGAAATAATAAATAATAATATTTACTGAAGCTGATTTATTCGGTTATATGTTTACCTCTGCACTAAGACGAATTTAGACCGAATAAGTTTCCGGAAATGCAGGCGAACGTATAGCTTGGCAATTGAAAAAAAGAACCATAGCTTAACCAGACTACCCCTGATATCTAAATTTCAACCGAGTTTTATGGACAGGGTTTCAAGTCATCTTCCTTCTTCTCACCTTAAGGTATTTTCATGTCCTTTGCTAAATTTGTTTAAATGAACGAAATTTAAGATGTCTATATGAATTCATATATACGGGATACTAGCAGCATATGTTTGAAGCGTCACAAAAACTGGTTGAATGACAAGTTCTGCGTCACATATGAAACAAGATAATAAATCCCAAGAGATCGTATCTCTATGTGAATACATATTGGTGCACTGTGTTAATTACAATTTTTTGGATAGACAGGCACACAAGTTGAAAAAGTAAATTCGATTTACTTATGGTTCAATTTTAAAGGAATTTGAACTTACGGCCAGATAGTGAGAACCTAGAAGCTACAGATTTAAGGACTTTTGAATTACCCCAATAGGTAAATTTGAAATGAATGGCATCACTTATTCGGTCAATGATTGAGTAATTCACAAAAATATTATCTTTCTGGCATCCTTTGTGTGTATTCCCTTTTAATAAGTCAATTTTAATTATTCATAAGCCCAATCTTATTCACAGGCATACATCGAGTCTGATAAAGCACTTTGCCCTTAATTTTCAGTCCTGGTGTTGTGAACTCCAATTATTCCGACAAGTAACTCAAAGTCATTTTACTATTTCCGCAATTATTACTATTAGGAATACTAGCTTTTCTGAACCCACAGTGGGAACTATGAAAGTCTTTCTGAGCAGCGTGTGCGTCCATGCGGGGCAGAAAGATAGGGTGTCCGAAGGTCACCTGTAGAAATTTCCCATCTCAAAACAAATCCGAGGCTCCCATTTAGGATCGTAATAGATTTGTAAAGTTACAAGACGAGTTGAATAATCCCCAAATCTTGAAACTTAAGAGTTTTCGCAACGAAACAAAAGTGCTTTACGACTAACTTTAACAATGAGGTAAATGCGTTCTGAAGAAGGGGTGATTTTATTGAGGAGATCGCTCTCATGCAAGTTTGAATCCCAGGAGGCTAGAGCACCAATTAGAGTGGCATAATTCTTTATCACCGGCAAGGTCACGAAACTTTTGCTATCCTCACCATCCAGACAGGAACAAGCTCCAACCATCAGATGCTTGTTTGCCGCCCTATCTACAACAAGAGTCAACGGTATCTTATATTTTCAATAAAAATTGTAGAAAAAGAGTGAACGTCATATAAAGCACTGTATGCAATGAAGTGGTGAATTATATCTACTATGCATGGGGTGTGCGATAGACTTACCTCCACGTGGTGCACCCTGGGCAACGTATACTCATACGGCAAAAAAGTCTATTAGCTGGCAGTTGACTTCTCACTTCAAACTGCCATCACCTCACTGTATGTCATATTCCACCATTTCCACAGTACTCACCTCACCTTTTTCTACCTTTGTGTCTCTCACTTTAACATATTTGAAGCACTCTTCTGTTCTCCCCCCCCCCTCTCTCAACTTTTCTTCACTTTGATGTTGCTTCTCCTCTGTGAAGCCTGAAGTCAAATAAAGAGCTAACGTTAACTATCACAACGCCTGCCATTTGATATAAACTTTTACCGTTTAAACATTTAGTGGTGTTTCATTCCTTTAAATCATTGTTATTAGGGACCTAAGGAGTACTGGCCTGTTATGCTCAATATTTTCTTCATCATCATGATTCACAAACCAGCACACATTTGCCTGACAACGTATGAAGACCTAGGGGAATTCACCAAGTGGAAAAAATTATGTAGGACAAACATCCTCCACTCTCCCTTCAGAGTTAAATAGATAATGGGTTAGCTGTTTACCAATATCGGCAAAAATAAGAGGAGTATGTTGTTCCACCCCGAGCGGAGGAATTTCCGTCGCTGGTGCCCCAGGAAGACTAGATCCAGGTGCTGGTACAAGGATTGCATCTCGTTCTTGAATTGACGAGACCCATCGATTCAACAGGTAGCCTTCTTTCGCTTCATCTCCGGCATCCTTCTCACGTTTCTTTGCCAGCTGGTTAACATCAATGCGAACGAAATTTTAAGAGCAAGTTAATATTTAGATAAATAGGAACATCAGTTATATATATTAAGATCATGCAAGCTGATTAAGATTGTGGTGCACTCTAACGCCTGGTTCACACTCTCATTATTTACTTGCCTATGAAATAATATAGGATACGTTGCTAAGCGCTATGTGCGAAATTTGGCCCTCCCCAATGAACCATGAAAATCTTCCGATAATTTTCGACTCAAAATTTATACTAATGACATGAAATAGATATCTCTAAGGCTCTAAACACCGATACTGAATCTACAATACATGAAAACAAGTCTTCCCCCCTAACATAATTACCACTTCTTCAGTAGAGGTAGTACTAAGGGACGCTTAAGTTTTACCTCTAAAAATGTCTCTTTGTAAACATGCAATGCATTCACACTTAATCATAGCTTTTACTATACTCTTCCACAACAACGCCTTGGACTCGTCAGCATCTTCCACTAGCAGCACCTACAGGCCACTGTATCTTCCACGGTCTTATTAAGTATTAGATAATGGTCTATCAACCTGCTTTGGAAGACATATGGCTTGAAACGTAAAGAGCTGCCTACTTCTACTTATAAACCAGTCAGAGGAGAAAATAACGGCAAATCCCCAAAAGAAGATGCATACGAATCTTGGATATTATAGTTACTTTGATTTCAGTTGGTTTCCTTATAGAAATTTAATAATATTCTGCACAAAAATAAAAATAAAAAGTGATATAAGCGAAACGAAGGCAAATGTGCACGGTAACGACCTCAAATTGTTTTAAACAAAATTATTTGTGCCATAGCTTACAGCTTGAAGATTGCTTTGAAGGTAGGATTGCCATTCGTCCATTGCTTTGCACCAATTATGTCGCACCATTTCAAGGTCATATTCCTGATACGAGTCGGGTGTATATCGATTTTTTACAGACTGGCTCTGCCCATTTTCACTATTAGCGAAATACCGCGTTACGCATCCCACTGAGACCTAAACAAATAAACGATTCTCGAAAAATTCACCATACCTCAGATACCCCGGAACAGATTAGACACAAAACCCCCCTTTCTTTTTGACAAAGTTCATTTGGACGAATTAACACTCGAATTCGCCTATTCAAACCTTGGCAAAGTTGGTAAATCCCACCAGTCTTAACATCGGAGGTAGGAACAACTGCTACCTTCTTGAAATTTCCCTGAAAAGATTCCGTTGGAGTAAGAATGAAGGTCTAATACTACAACTTACTTCCTCAGAGAGTTCTTCGATGGCAACCCAAAAATCTATCCGCCTCTGGACTTTTAGCCATTCCTCAGCTAAGCGTGAGGCAACGTCATTTGAAAATACATTTGAGGGAGAATTCGTAATCTTATTCATGGTTTGAGCTCCTAGAAAATTCGGTTTACGTCGATCGGCAAGATCTGACTTGTATCGGCGGAGTTTGGTGGTTCGAATTGGTGGTGGACTACTGGCACGATGCAACTGAGATCCGTCTTGTTTTTCGACTCCTTTGGGAGTGAAATTTATCAGCGCTTGACCGCGATTCGATGACATTCGACGAATGGAGGCGTTCAGGTTAACCTCCTGCACATTTCCATAGACCTGAAATACCAAGATAAATCTATTCAATATGGAATCCCGATTCATACTTAGCTGGGAAACATTACTGCACCTAATATTTGTCAAAACAATGACCTATTCTGGAGGATATATGTACATAACTGAATTCGATTTCTCATGTTCAGCTCACTAGTGAAAATGTACCTCCTGAGTCAAATTCTATTAAAAGTTCTTAAAATGATGCAACTTCTTTTTCAATTTCTCACATATGAAAGTATGATTCATAGACAAACTCTGGCTAACGCATTAATCATAGCTTTAAGTTCACAATTCAAAAGTGATAAAATTCGTATGAATCAGACTTGAAAGTTGAGAAATTGAACAACTTAATTGACAGCCAAATGGCATTAGAGCTTCTTGGTTGTGGTAGTAAATTATTGCTTCTTAATACTTTCTCATGAGAGAAATATATTAAGGAGGAGATGCTTGCAAGTAGGAGTCAGGTCAATGGAAGTTTCACCAATAAAGATAAGGCGTGCAGAGAACAAAGACGAGTTACGAATAAAAAAATTAGATACACTCCGACAATATCGCTCCGCCAATCGTTATCAGCCACTTCACTAATTTTTTAATGTTCTGATTCAATAAATCAATAATTGACTGTAAATTATTCCAGCATAGCAAAGTCCTTTGAAGGACTTCTTTAATATTAGAAGTTAAGATTCATAATTTATTTATTTTTCCTCTTTCCTTTGCTAATTGTCTTCCATTATAGTAATGGCAAAAAATATGTACTATTTCGTCATGGTGTGAGGTGGAAAAGAAGTTTACATCAACATGACCTAAATACGGGCAAAAAATTAATTTAACGTGGAGAAGAAAGTACCGTAAATTGGGTAATGGGTTATCTCGTTTTTAGGCCGTTTTCTATTCAAGATATGAAAATGGCCGTTGAATATTAAGGACGCTATTGAGAGTTTCCTTGCGATTTATTGTGAGGAATAACATTTAGTAATCGCCTTTTTATATTTGTTGATAATGGTTCAACATTGTTATCGCTTGATCTTGAAATTTGCATTCAACAAAAGGCTAGAATGTTTTCCCCTAAAGAATTTAATGTAGAATTCCGCATAGCTTTGTTGCCATAGGGATCTGGAGATCCAATTTCTACAAAAAGTATCAATGTGTTCGACATAAATATCTTTGGAAAGATATTCAATGGCGCGAATCATGAAATTTAGGGTTTATTACACACACGCATAAAAGCATGCTTGAATGTTAGCGAAAATAACTTACATCAATGGAAAGTACGTAAACCGCAAGACAAGAGAGCACCTGTCGAGTTAGTGGAAGATGAAAAATTCGCATGTGACCGAATGTACAACGTTGGGAACTTTCATAATCCAGATTTGTAGGATCTGGTAGTCCCTGGATCCCGGGAGACTCCAACTTTGGAAGGATGACAATCGGCTCTTCCACCCCAAGCATTTGGTAATGACAGAGAATCATCTTTGTGAAAGTATTCGGAATTCCAACAGCTTCCTTAATTGAGACACGTAACTCGAGGATATTTCTGAAGTTACGGAAATGCATAAAGCATGAAATTCAAGCATAATTACAGGTAAGATTCTGTTTCTATATTTACCTTCACGTGGAGCACTCTGGGTGACGTATACTCATATAGCAAGAAAAGTCTATAAACTGGCAGTTCACTTCAAACTATCATGGCACCACTGTACGTTATATTCCACCACTTTCACAGTACTCATCTTACCCTTTTCTCTCTTTTACATTTGTAAATAGGTCTTCTGTTTCCCTCCCCTAGACTTTTATGACTTTGATGTTCCTCCCCTCTGTGAGGCTTGAAGTCAACTAAAGGGCTAATGTTAGCTATCATAAATTTTGTCATGAATTTTGAAATAAATCGATATAAGATGTTTCGTTTCTCAACCTGTTACTGAAGATAGAGAAGCGATACGACGTTCATCTCACCAAATTTAATGCAAACTTATTAAAACGAAGGTTTAAGCTAAAGGTCAGTTTAGCAAAGAGGTTAATGTTAAACTTTTGGTCCCAAATTTAACAATTTATAACACCAGACCTGACTTCCTTGGAGGTCTCCTAACCCCAACTGGTCTGATACCATGTAGGACTATGTAAGGTCACACACTGAATTAAAAGTCATAATTCAGACAGACTTAATTTATGTGTGCCTATTCTCTTCTAGTTACTTAGGTGAATAACTTTCCACATAGTACATCTTGTATTCCACGCCTTTGATGTGGTGATGATTGTGTTTATTAGAAGGTTTAATAAGCTTCTATGCATTTTTGGTGCATTGGTCAATCTGCATATTTATCAAATTGGAACCCGCAAGAACAAGTATTGTCGGCTCATATCCAGTACTGTAGGCAGCCAATCACTATGCTTAATTCTGACCATCAAAAGGGGTTTTAGAATGCGAATTTCAGGAGTAGCCCCAAGACACATTTCACTTACCTAAGTCTAGTTCTAAGTGCACTAAAGATTTTGGAACTTCTCCTAGTTGTTTTTGTTTCCCCACTGCTAAGATAAGTACCCACTTTCTCTCCCAGTTATTCGTTCCTATCTCGTTCAAATAACTTTTTTTTAATAAAATATCTTCCATATCTGTTTTGGTTAGTTAACGTATTCTTGACATGATAAGTCTTACCATAATTTATTAAATTGTTCAAATCGATGCCAATCGATGATCAATAAATCGATACTAATTCCTATTGCCATTTTTGTATGGGTGGATATACACCATATTTTTGAATCATGAAAAGCGAAAAGAATTGTTGAGGTATGTGGAGAACACGTTACCATGGCAAATTTGAGGGGCCCCTTGCACGATCGAGCATTCTGGAACGTGCGTCTATGAGTGCAGAAACCTCTCAACCAATCAACGATCAATAGTCACCGCATGGTCACTGGGGTTGAAATCGTATTTTAATAACTAAGTTCTATGTCTGTAACACGCAAAACAATAAACGCTATTCCAGCCGTACGCTCAATTTCCTCGATACTGTTGAGGTAGATGAAAGGTAGTCATTGCTTATTTGTGTATCGCCCGATGCAAATTAGAGATAAACAATTACCATCTCAACGCAAGCTACAAATCTATTCACTCTAATGTCGTTTCAAAAAATGCTATCACAATTCCAGTATGATTAAATCACAAGCACAAGGAATAATTAAAATAGCCAAGATGTCGAGGACAATTTCTAACTTGATGTCTTTACTAATGTGGGACACGTTATCGCTGTGTGCGTGCCAGGATTGGGAGGTGCGGCCGTACAACTCTGTGTGCAGGGACCGTACGATTGGGAGGTGCGGCCGTACAACTCTGTGTGCAGCGACCACAACTCTGTGTGCAGCGACCGTACAAACAGTGGCCAATCACTAGAACTCTGTGTGCAGCGACCGTACTAACAGTGCATCGTATGCCTGCATGTCTGCTGCCAGGATTGGGAGGTACGGCCAACTCTGTGTGCAGCGACCGTACAAACAGTGGCCAATCACTAGAACTCTGTGTGCAGCGACCGTACTAACAGTGACCAATCATTAACCTCTGTTTAACCTAATCCCCCCATCCTGATCATGAGTAGATCCCTGCGTGTACACTTTTTATCCGTAATATACTCGCTGATTAACGTGCTCCGTGCTGTACGTCTGTTTCCCTCATAGCTGGGCTATAGCTTAGCTGGTTCTGGGAGTCTATCTAGATGTTGGAGAATCTGCCATAGAGATTTCTGAGTCGGTCAGGCTTAACTAGTGTAGCAATCCGCTACACTAAGTGAAGTAAATACCATGTAATAGTTATTAATGGCAAAGTTATTCTTTAGTGAGACTGAAGATATAGATAAAATAGACACGTTTAATATTGTAAATTCATTTCCAATAACCCAAAGTAGGTCAAATCACTTGTTAATTGCATTTTTATTTCTGATAAAACGCACCCATCAGAACTGATGAATCCTTGGTCAAGAAGATCCAAGGTAGATGGCGTAGGAAAGAGTTGTCTGGGTTTATGTTCGTCAGAGACGATAGTAGTTGAGAGTTCAACGTCTATTCGTCCACAAACCTTAAGATAATTAAATACAAAGCTGAAATTTCGGACAGTAAGGACATTTAAGACTTTTTGATTTAGGAGCTCCAATTTAACCTCATATTTTCATGAATATGGACAAAGCACTCTAGACACTTGGTTGCCAGTCTAGTGGTCTGCAAACAGGTATTTGTAATAGCACATAATCAATTCACTCAACTTCAATAGTCTGAAATTAGAGAAATCTCAGTTTGATTAAACTAAGTATAAACGAACATATTTCTCGTGTCCGTACTAACTGGATAAAGGATGACGATTACGCTGAATCTAATTGTATACATCCTTACCCTCCCCAAAATCAGTCTATTCCGATTTCTCAAAGTCGCTGAGATTCTAACTAGCCATTTGCGGAAAAGATAATTTGAAATAGTTAGTTTTAGCTATTCATGCTTTATCCAGAGGTATAGTATTCTAAGTAAAACACAAAATAGGAAGCAGGAAACTTTAGAATGTAGATTTACATACCCGGCCCTTTGGATTTATAATGGGAGCCTTGTAGGAGAATTCACGAACAAAAAGGAGACAACGGAGGGAGAGATTAGCCACTCCAATCAACACCAAATCCCCATTCGGAATACGTTGTCCTGTTTGTCTCAAAGGCAATTTCTAAGGGAAAAAACAATTCTAGAATAAGCGCAATCCATAAAGTAATGGAAGTAAGAAGCTATTCTTATTTGATTTTGAGACCAATGCAAATGCAAAAGAGATTTTGTTCTTTGGTATTTTTCATATTTGTACCCTGGGGGTGTGCGACAGACTTACCTCCACATGGTGCACCCTGGGCAACGTATACTCATACGGCAAAAAAGTCAACTAACTGGCAGTTGACTTCTCACTTCAAACTACCACGACCCCACGGTATGTCATATTCAACCACTGCCACAGTACTACATCACATTTTTTTCTAAATTTTCAACATTCGTCTTTGAAACAATCTTCAGTACCCCTCCTCTCGACATTTTTTTTCACTTTGATGTTCCTTCCCCTCTGTGAAGCCTGAAGTCAACTAAAGGGCTAATGATAACCATCAAAACGCCTGCCATTTGATATAAATAAATATTTGTACCCTTCATCTTGGATCGATTGTCAAATCTACTTAAATTTCGAGTATCCAGTTTTCATACTTCCGATCGTTAACTTGTATGCTTGTATATGCTGATTCTGATTAATTTTCCCGGAATTACACCAACTAGAATATGCTTCCTTGAACGGAGGCCTATTCCCTGCCTCTGGGCTTAATAACGTTAAAGTGAAAATTTGAGCTCAAGGACATTTACCATACTTTCTGTCGAGGTTCTCAAGAGATGGGTTTGAATTCTTAAAAGTCTTATGACAACACTATATATATATATATATATATATATA